TATATATATATATATATATATATATATCATTTCACAATACACATTGAAATTACTTGTGTTCACTTGCCTACTCCTACAATGCAAATCACTCGCTTGTGTACATGCATGTGGTTTTCTGACGATCCTACTCCGGTGTCCTGTGATGTATGTTGATGTGTGTGTTGCCTCGCAGTGGAATCGGTGGCCAATCGGATGGTATGGCGAATAATTCAAATCGAAAGAGTTAACGCACAGCTCTCTTCCATTATATCAACTAGCACATCTATGTATATATACATATATAGAGTGTGATGAATGTTGCCTTTATGTTTTTATTCAGGTAAATATATGTATTCCTATCCTTAAATGTTGCCGTATGTATACCAATATTCATATAGAGAGGAACGTTGTCTTCGTGGTATTATAGGGTCACATATGTGTTTACAAACGTAAATGTGGCTGAGTACTCTACCTTAGTATGATCAAGCCCGGGGACATCGTCCTCTCAATTCTTTATCACTCAGATACGATCATGCCACACAGTCACCATACCCTACTGGACCGCCAAGCGCATAAATAACAAACTTATTCGTTCGCGCTGGATAAAATAGCCTAATCTATTCATATACCAGTCTATACAACAATCTAATTATAGAACACATTCCGTATAATATTCTATCTATAGAAGCTACTTCCATGCGGTGACCGGGACGGGCAAGTCTGGGGACGAGTTCAGCCGTGAGTCTGCGCTGATGCGTTTGCTCACTCATCCCAATGTGGTGCGATCCTTTGGCATGTGCACTGAAGACTCCGCAAATCTGTATCTGCTCATGGAGTACTGCGATATGGGTATGAAATATGTACATATGAACATGCATATTTGGTTGTATGTGTATATGGACCATATGCACATCAACATAGATATGATGTTGTGTGTATATGGGTCACATGCACATGAACACAGATATTTCGTTGTGTGTATATATGGAATATGTGTACATAAACACACATATTCGAGTGTGTGTATATATGGAATATGTGTACATAAACACACATATTCGAGTGTGTGTGTATATGCTTCATATGCACATGAACACAGATATTTGGTTGTGTGAATATATTGTGCATGTGCGCTTAAACACACATACTTGAGTGTGTGTAACTATGCTTCATATGCACATGAAGACAGATATTTGGTTTGTGTCTATATATGGAGCAATAAACACACGTATTTTTGTGTGTGTATATGCTTCATATGCACATGAACACACATATTTGGTTGTGTGTATATGCTTGATATGCACATGAACACGCATATTTGGTCGTATACATATATAGCATGTGCACGCGAACACATGTCTGTAGTTTGCTTCTCCCCCGTCGGAAGTGCAGCATGGGTCGACGAGTGCGTGTGCATTCATATACACAGAGTCTGAGCGTTGAATTCATCTGATGTAGTATATGCGAGTGTGTATTGATATGCCGATACTAACTAAAATCCCTGTCTCGCCTGAGCTGTTGTCGGTCCTGGTGCAAAGGACAGGCAGATGTGTGTAGGTTCGTGTGTTTAGGGTTTGAGGTTTACTTCGAGCCCTCTGGGTACTTCGGGGTTCCACTAACCGATACAACCACACTCCCTAAACCCTAAACCCTATAAAACGGCTCGTGCGCGCTCACTATCTCTGATACGTCACATCACCCCACTGCACCCGCAGGTGATCTTCGCACACACCTGTTGGCGTTGGAGGAGAGCATGCCGTTACGCATCAAACAGTTGCTGATGACTCAGGTACGTCTGAGGGAGTGTGGTGTCGAATGTATTATTGAGTATAAAATGGGTCCGATCCACTACTGATAAGAAAGCTGTAGCTGTGATCAAGCTAAACTGGCCTAGTCCCGTTCACGGTATTCAGGGCAACTTGTTGTTTGATCTACAGTGATAGTCGCATTCCAGGTTTGTCGTGGCCTCGTTTGAAATACAGCAATAGTACCATCAACTGGTCATGGGGCTACTTGATCAATAAACCTGTGGGTGAAGTTCGGTCCTTAAGGCATCGCCTAGAGTGTGACCCAATCCCATCCCACGGGTGCACAGTGCACCTGCACATTTGCACATTAGGACCGGCCGTGTGTGTAATACCCGTCGTGTTGTGCGTTTGCGTGGTGTGTTGGGATGTCACGTGTGCATGCCATGCGACACCCTTTGCTATGCCATCACACTATCGTCTGCTCTGATTTATATGCGATGGTTTAGATACGGTTGCACACACATACCGCTACATATATATATGTGTGTGTGTGTGTCTGTGTCTGTGTGTCTGTGTCTGTGTCTGTGTTTGTGTGTGTGTGTGTGTGTGTGTGTGTTTGCTTGTATGTGTGTGCTTCATCTAATATTGGCAGTAGTATTAGTGTGTAGATAGTATCATCGTGTCAAGCAGTGATGGTCAATTGGTAGTGGTAACAAATGCTAATTATTAGCCCTCTGATCGCCATTAGAACCAAGCTGTTCGGTCCTCATGGCTCCTGACAAATAACTTCTAACAGTTCGGGACCATTGTCTCCCCTGAACTATTTATAGACAATACCCATGACTCATCAATGCCCATCCCATTGCCTATCTGATGACAGGTTGCTGCTGGGCTACAGTATCTGCACTCGCTGAAGATTGTGCATCGCGATGTGGCTGCGCGCAACATTCTTTTGCAGACACCTACAGCCCACAATACGTGAGTTCAATACACCGACACGCACACGCACACCTCCGCGATCTCATTGTACTCTCCACTTCACCACTGTATATAGATTCGAGTGTGTGTCACAACGTCATCAGATGTTTTCCTTCTGAGTGGTCGCTAGCAGTCACCAGATGTTTCCCTTCTGAGTTGTCTCTAGCAGTCAACACATAGCCTATCCGTATCAGCATGGACGTCCTCCGGATTCTATTTGTGAAGTATTCAGTTGTCGCATGCCATAGCCTTCTAAAATAGACAATGGTTATGAGCATATGTATTTACAATTCACCCCCCTCCCCCCTCTCCCATATGCTTGGCGCATATGTACAGCCGGCAAAGTAGCCTCCGTGGAGACGGACCTACTGTGTATACACATAATGCCTAAAATCTGAAGAAGAAAAGTGGTGTATAGTAAGGCAGAAACTAGTAGCTTTATATATATCTAGATCCAGAACAATATGCACATATATATATATATATATGTATGTATGTATGTATGTATGTATGTATGTATGTATGTATGCATGCATGCATGTATGCATGCATGCATGTATGTATGTTATGTATGTATGTATGTATGTATGTATGTATGTAGGTATGTATATATATATATATATATTATACTATTTATATATATATACTATATAGTATACTATA